GGTTTAGGGTTTAGGGTGGGTAGTAGGGTTTAGGGTTTAGGGTTTAGGGTGGTTAGTAGGGAGTGGAGAAGTGGATCGCGGTAGTAGCCACTGTTTAACCCCCCAGCAGGAATGCACATATTCCATTCCTGCATACTGCCGGTGAGATGAGGAACTTGTATTGAGTCACGATAATCAGACAGGACGCTCACTACATATCAAAAGTATTGTAGCCCAACTCGGGTAGCTTCCATTTTCCATTATCCCTATATAACCTCTATACACTCCCTATACAACCCTTCACAGCAAACCAAGGAAGCAAAGAAAAGAGTTTCACAGCCATTCCCTGCGGTTCCTTTCGCTGGCTTGCTGCGACTTCTTCCTGGCAACTTGCACTTGACAGGTACTTGTCCAACCCGCAAAGAACATGGGACTTTCTCCAACTGATCGATGATCCCTGCGATCCCCAAACAAGGCCGCGGCCCAAAAAAGCTGCCTTGGTAATCTTATCATCCCCCTTAAGTAGATAGAATAAGGGGTATCTTATTGGGATTACATAGGGAATAATGGAAAAGAAAATGGAAACTACTACAGTAGAAAGTGTATATATTGGGGTTCTAGTAGATAGAATATGGCTTTGGGTAAACTCAAGGGGGACGATATCTCCACTTGAGAAACTCCCGTATGTCTGGGCGCACTTCTCCACCGTCTTCATGATGCTATTCACGGTCAGCGCGGTCCTTCCTCCCAAGCCAAGAGCAGACTCCACTTTGACAGCTAATCCTCAAAGATGCTCATGTGAGCCATTGTCTAAACTCCTAGTATCCCCCTTGATAACCCCTATAGTAGTCCCCTACATAATCCCCCATATATCCACCCTTTAAGGAGTTTAGAGAATGGCTCATGTGGGCAGGTGTTCTGGGTCCTTGTTTGGCAAGCCCCCAAGCCGTAACACCTAAAAACCCTAAACTGTAAACCCTACCCGAAGCTGCGAGACCCCTGCGTACCGCACTCGAGTGGTTCTCAAAATGGGAGCGCCCACACAACCCCATAGCACCCATCAAGGGACCTCCTCCCGAGGCAACCACGAATCTGCACAAATGCGCTTGGCCTGCTGATGCAGCGAGCTCCCCCTTGGATTTCAGGAGGTGCGCCTGCGTTTGTGAAAGTGTTTTTGCGTTGGTGGCTTTGCGGCTTGTGGGTCCTGGCTGTGTGTGTACGGGTCCTCAGATCAACACTTACGATTGCTATTCCTGACGCCGCTAATCCTCAGTCATTGACAACAGTGCTGCTACCGCCACCCACCACTACCACTACCACTAGCAGTGCTACATCCTATATTATCCTATATAAAGCCTATACATCCCAATATAATCCCATATAAAACGCATATATCCCAATATTATCCCATAGAAAACCTATATATATCCCAATATTATCCCATGATAAAACCTATATTTCCCCATCTAACCTCTATGAAAATCTTTCAAGTCAAAACTCGTAGGCCGCCGCTCAGCCTTGGCGTGCATCTTCGCCGCCAGACGGGAGACAGCACTGCCCCGCATCCACCTGTCGGGACAGCACCCGAAGAGTGAGGAAATATGATATCTAGAGATTATATAAGGATGCTATAGGGATTATATGGGGACTATATGGGAATTATATAGGGATTATATAGGGGTTATATAGGGATTATATAGGGGTTATATAGGGATTATATAGGGGTTATATAGGGATAATATATAGGGATAACATATACGGATTACATAGGGATTATACAGGGATTACATAGGGATGATATCCCAGGGTTTGAAAAAGTCACTGGTTGTCTTGTAATCAGATGTTTCTCACTAGGCTTAGGGTTTCAGATTAAATTGGGAATGAGATTTACGGGTAGGCAGAGAAAGGATACATGCAACCCCACCCCGCCTCCGCGACAACAGCATGGCACTAGTTGCTATGAGGCCTCTGAAGATGACATAATCAATTGCACAGGGTTTAGGGTTTTTTTTTAATGGGACCTTTTCTCCAAGGCCAGAAGTCCTTAGGATGCTTTGCAGCACGATCCCTGAAACACGGTCCAGCAGGGTTTAGGGTTTAGGGTTTAGGCTCTTCTGCGGAGTTGATGCCCTGCTGAGTAAGAGGAGTTTTTAAAATGTCGCGTCTCCCAAAGAGTCCTGCAAAGCACCGATTCCAAAAACATTACAGTCTTAAATCCTGAGCTCCCTAATCCCCCCAAGAACCCTAAGCATGTATACATGTCTCCACATCTCCCGGAATCAGATACCCCTTTGTTCAGCGCAACTGACCATGTGTGAAAGATGTGCAGGCATACATATACAAAACCCGTGCTCCCACACCCTAAAGACACTCCTGAACCACAAACCCTAACCGTAAACTGCCGTAAAACCTGAATTCTCCAAACCCTCCAAACCCTAAACACCGTAAACCCTAAAACCCCTAAACCCTAAATCCTAAACCCTTAAACCCTGAACCCCAAAGTCCTAAAGCCTTGGACAATTCCGCCAAGGTACTGCTCAGCACCATTGACGTAGAGCCAGCCGATCAAGTACAACATCTCGGCGCCCCACGGCACCTGCGGGCTAAAGTTTAACTAAACCCTAATGTGGGGTTTAACTAACCCCTAATTTAGGGTTTAGTTAAACCTTAAGTTAGGGTTTAATTAGGAAGTTGACTTACTGAGGGTTAGTAGGGAGCAAGGGAATATATTGCATGAGGATTTTATGGGGAATATATTCTGTTATTCCTACTAACCCCTCAGAAAATTTGGGGTTTAGAGTGTTGGAGTTTTGGGGCTTTAGGATTTCGTGTGGTAGCTGAGAATTGAAGGATGAGGGTTTGGGGGGCTTTTGATGTCCCAGGTTTAGAGTGCAGGACTTCCGATTGAAGGATGAAGCTCCACCTTCTTTCCCCATGTTAGCGAACGCCAAGGGATTTGGGTTTGGGGGCTTTGAGCTTCAAGGCTTCTCCCTAAATTCCCAAAACCCTACAAACCCTAAAGCCCCTAAACCCCAATAAACTCCGTAAACGAACCCTAAAGTCCTAAAGCTTTGGAGAATGCCCAAGGGCAACTAGAGCCAACCTGTGTCCTTTGACAGTTCGCATCCCCATATTCATGAAGGTCCCGTTTAGGGCAGGGGTGTTTTTTGTTCATTGGGGCCCTAAACAGAACACTGCTCTGGTGCATAGAAATAGTACATTCCGCTTGATGCGCTGCGTCAAATCCTAAACCCTGAACCCTAAACCCTAAACCTTAAACCTAAACCCTAAATAGTACCTGAAGTCAGTAAATGGAAACTACTAGTTACTAGAATAGGGTTATATACGGTTTAGGATTGGGGTTATATACGGGTAATGGAAAAGAAAATGGAAACTACTATTTAGTAGGGTTTAGGGTTTAATGAGCATTCGGACTGCGGGAACAGATACGGTGTTCGCAAATTTATTTGGGATCCTTGTATTGGGGCAGGGGGCTATGGTCAGGACCAGGTGGGTTTTGTATCGCAGGTGACTTCTCCTACTTTCCTGCTACCCCTGAACTTTGAACTCGCAAGCCTGGATGCTTGAACCCGAAAAGGAAGATCCCTACATCCCTCGGCCCCTGCTTGATGTCTAGAAACTGCAACCTGCACTCTCAACCGCTGTCTGCTTCCTCTGCAAACGCTCGGGATCTGGCCTGTGACAAGCGCTTTACCTCGGCCCTCTGCTCGGCCTCCCAATCGCCCTGCAGCAGGAGATGAGGTGTCTCTTTGGGTTTAAACTTTTAGGGTTTATGTAGGGCTTGGGGTATAGAACCCTGACCCCAAAAACCTGAATCCTCAAGCGGCCTCTTGGCGAAGAGCCTGATCGAGACCTTGTGTATGCAAATGCGCATTCTTCAGCTGACTCTGGAGGCTTCTATCTGGGAAGCTGACGAGTTGCCAAGTTAACAGCACACTGCACTTGCCGGCGCCTCTCCAGGACCTGGAGCTTAAGAACATTTTTAGGGTTTAGGGTTTAGGGTTTAGGGTCAAACAGGACCTCCGAGCGCTTCAGCGCGCCTGCATTCGCTTGTGAGCGCGGCTGACCTGTTGGCTCACAGCATAAGCAGCTTTGGTAATACATGAGCCATAGTCTAAACTCCTAGCATCCCCTCACTAACCTTTATACTACTCGATTATATAAGCCCCTATATAACCCCCTTGAAGGAGTTTAGACTATAGCTCACATGGCGTCTTGGCCTTCAGAGCGTCCAACTGCCCACTTTCCTCGTCTTCTGCAGCGATAATGTCACGCATCATCAGCCTTGGGCTTAGGATTCAGGCTTGGGGTTTAGGGTTTAGGGGTTTAGGGGTTTAGGGTTTAGGGTTTAGGGTTTACGGTTGGCTTTTGGGTTTCAGGTTCATGGGTTGGGTTTTAGGGTTCCCAGCATAGTTGGAGGTACAAACAACAATACTTCTTGACCGAACTCGAGTACACACGCCCCACTTCTAACTACCCCAGGAACATGAGGGCAGTGCCATTTATGTTTGGAACCAAGCAAACATCAGCCGTCATGTCGTGGCTTGCCTCCTGTCAGTAAAGAGTGAAATGGGTTGTTGCGGCTTACCTGGGTTCTGTGAGTTCTGTAAGCAAAGGGGGCTTGCCAAGCTTCAAGGAGAAGTTGTCCTTCATTCCCTCATCACAAAAATAAGCAGATCGCAAGACGAATGACCCAATAGCATTCACAAGCAGTCCGTAAGACAATAGTTTCCATGTTCTGTTTGATTTGTCACTTCCACGCTACAATAACAGGACACAAGTTCAAGCAATCGGATGGTACACACATCTAGAACCCCCAAAAATGTCCTACAACACCTCTAAGAACCTATTGCGGGGGATATCCAATTGTTTCATAAACCCTTAGCCCTAAACCTTAAGAATTAAACCCGAAACCTTCAACCCTGAACCTCTAAACCCCTCAATCCTCAAACTCAAGCCCGAAGCTGTAAACCCTAACCATCCCTACGATGCGTTGAAGGGGGAACCCAGGGCAGCCACTGCATGTCTGTGTCGATGTCTTGGGCCAGCCGCAAGCGGCCCACGAACCTGCAGAATAGAGATGATACTCAGAGGGCTTAGGATTAGGGTTTGGGGGTTGGAAAATGCGAGTGGGGTTCGGGGGTATACTGTACTATTCATTGGATTATCATATGAACAAACAGATTAAGGTTTGGTGTATACTCTGCTTTAGCAGGATCAAATTATGGACAGCTATCCAAGCTTCTAGGCTGGGCTCATGACATGTAAGGAAATGCCTCAGTCTTGTTATGTACACCATGGGGCCCGCCCGTGATGCAAGGAAGCTCCAATAGAATCACGTTGTATATTGCAGCTCTCTTTCCTAGCATTACTACAGCGGCTTGGGGAGGGGAAAGTGCCGTCCACTTAGCATAGTAAAGCGCTTGCTTGGGCTTTTAGGGATTCGGATGCGTGACTACTTGGGGGCTGTAGGCTATGGGGTTGAGACTTCATTGAGAGCCCCACGGTTCGAAGTGGTGGGTCCCGAAAAGCGCTGCGAAGAACACCACAGGCCTTGGAGCGCGTTGCTCTAAGGAAGGAAGCCCTACGCGAACTCCGTATATGGGGGGTAGGGTTCTGCGGTATTCCGTAACATGGGAAAGTGCGTGGGTAATTATTAGGAACCTATATGGGACCTTATGCATTCCGAGAGAGGCGAATGGGTCAACCTTGCGGCTTCCTTACTTTCACCCCAAACTGCACCCTCAAAGAATTTGGGATTTACATAATAGGATCTATAGTGCAGGGGCGTCCTGTACGGGGTCAAAGCTACCACCCTGCGCGTGCACATGAGGCGGTGGCTCTATCTTCGGAAGGTTGGCAGCAGCAGTATCCTTGCAGAGCTTCTGTTGCAAAAATAGCTTCCGTCATCCCCACATACCCCTATAGAGTCCCGAACAATTATCCCTATATACCCCTATATAGTCCCTAACCATCATCCTTATATACCCCTATATAGTCCCTAACCATTATCTCTATATACCGCTATATAATCCTGACGATGGAGAAGATAATGGAAACCACCAGCCCCCCGAATTGGTTGGTGCCCACCTTGCCCAGCTCGTCGTAGGCTCGCCTTGCGCTTGCATGGCAAGGAAAGATGGAATGCGACCCACTTGATTCTATTCTGCCCCTGTAATCATCCGCACCAGCCATTCCACCCTAAACCCTAAACCCTGAACCCTATACTTCCCTTGAACAAGAGAGCTGGGGCTGGAGTCACCTTCGTTCCTCATCGCCGAGGATCCGGTAAGCGTCGCTGACGGCCTTGCAGGCAAAGCAGCAGCAGGAAAGATGTATCGAGGCTGCACCGCGCAGAGCATTTACCCCAACCCCTGTGTAACAAGCTATACACCCTTACAACAACGTACATATGTACATATATACATATATATTTCTTGATTTAATACGTATTTATCGGTCTACATGTGTGCTATAGACTAAACTCCTAGCATCCCCCTTAATAACCCCCGCAATAACTCCCCCCTATAATCACCTATAAAACCTCCTTCAAGGAGTTTTTTACTATGGCTCATGTAGCACATAGATCCTCAAGAACAGAAGGAGGCTCCAGTCCGAGCCTGGAACTGCTTCGTGGCTTCCGGGTTGTCGGGATTTTTGTCGGGATGCAGAGCCTGAGCCAGAAAGAGCACCCCCCTAATATTACCCCCCCCCCTCCCCAGCAACGCCCTAATATTGAATGGGTTTAGGGTTTTTAAGATATTAAACCCCCCCTTAAAGTATTAGGGGGGTGGGGGGGGGCTTAAAATGAATTATGGGGAGGGGACTACACCACAGAACCCCCATAGCCCGAACCTCTTCGGGATGCAGCAACATGCCAAGCCCCTACGTGACACCGAGCCCGAATCCAGGTATCTACATCCATAACTATGCATATGTAAGTATGAATATATATATATATATATGTACATTTATGTCGTTATATGTATATATATATATATATACATACATGTGTTTTTCTATGTGTGCGTACAGTTATGCGTTACGATGGACTTAGGGAGACCTTGTAATATCAAAGAACCGGCGAACCCGCGCACCAGAGACTTCTTGTAGAAAGCTTTGCGGATTTCGGCTTCCGTGGCCTCAGGGCATGAGAGGGTGTTTAGGATTTAGGGTTTGAAGTTTAAGTTTAGGATTTAGGGTTCAAAGTCTAGGGTTTAGGGTTCAAAGTCTAGGGTTTAGGGTTCAAAGTTTAGGGTTTAGGGTTCAAAGTTTAGGGTTTAGGCAGTTTTCAGGGTTTTGGGCGTTACCCTTGGAGGCTTGCCTGAGGGTGCACATCCAAGACATCGTACAGCTCCGTGTGCCTCGGACAATGGCAGAATGGGGACCAACTGCAGGAGGGGAGTTGGGCATGTGGGGGAGTGTATGTAAAGGACAAATCAGGGGTCTATGAGGACTCAATAAGCTCCCTACATTGCTAACTCACTCCTGTAGGTGCTTTGGATAGGATAGGAATATTACTATGTGCCAACGTGACTGCTGCTGTTCCTGGTGGGCCGTAGGAGAGATCAATTTTGATGGAGAAGATGTCACAGGAAGACACATTACAAGTAGCTACCTCTGACACTATGCCTCTAGAAGTGTTACGCTTGCTGAAGACATCAGTCTGAGACTCTACAGCTCAGTTGGATTCTATACATCTTTAACGAGAATTTCCACATGTGAACAACTGCACGGTTCGCTGTGCTCACCCTACTCTCTTTTCGCACATGCTGAAATCTCATCCCGGAGATTCCAAATTCAACGCATTACATGCACGGTATTTGGGACCAGTATTTAGGTACTTGGACCCTTCGGAAATAAGTGCAATCTACACCCCAAACTGTAATGTAGAAGCCTTAAGGGATTAGGGTTTAGGGTTGCTGTCAGATCGTCCCCTTATAGCGCTTACATGGGAATTATAGGCATACTAGTCCTTTGTACAGCGATCTTGAAAACCCCCTGAGCCTAACTCATACATCATTCCCTTTTTAAATCCCTGTGCCGAGTCTCCTGCTGTTTCCGGGGGTAGTAAAGAGACCCTGGAACCTCAGCCCTTATAGGAAATCAGAAATCATATGCTGGGGGCGGTGCTGCACTTTCCGAGAAGGGGCCGAGGGCCTGGAACGGCTCTCGCTTTCCTCCTGCCCAGAAGCTTCAAATACACAGAGTTTCAGAGTTTGGGGTGAGCTGCAGACTCGTATTTAGTGACATGAGACTGTATGGTGTGAGTCTAGGACCCTAAACACCAGACCCTAATCTTTAAACCTAGAGGTTTCAGATTTGGAGCACTTCGCCCTCCAGGTGCCTCCTCCACGCCGAGGACCTGGAGACAGGTGCTGACAGCTTTCACAACGAGCTTTCCTTATAGTCCCCCTTGAATATAGGGGTTATATAGGGGTTATATTGGAATAATGGAAAAGAAAATAGAAACTACTATTTATGGTTTAGGGTTTAGGGTTCCCCTTAAGTAGATAGAATATGGCTTTGGATATATTCTATCTACTTAAGGGGGACTATAAAACCTGCACCCTGTCCTGATGTTTTTCTAGCCCTGTACTGCCTGAAGTCTACATTCAAACCCTGACCCCCCATACTGAACCCTAGCGTACATTGGCGTGTCCATCTCTTGATTGTACTAGCAAAAGACCAATTAGTTTGAGAATGAACATGTACTGCGGTAGTTTCCATTCTCACTCCATTCCTTCATCACTAACATGAGAAGTATAATATGGGAATCACTGGCAGTATCCATTCTCTTCTCCACCCCTCTTAACCTGAACCCTAAACCCCAAACATTTTTACTAAGTGACGAGCAGCCGATTTTATCACTGATTTCGTCTGAGCCAGGGGCTTCTGCAGCCTCCTCAGGCAAGGAATACCAATCCTGGGCATTGCGAGTTTAGGTGTAGGCTCAGGTTTCAGGGTTTAGGGCTTCAAGGGGAAAGGTAAAGCGTTTGGCGTTCAGGGTTTGGGGAATTTCAGGGTTGGAAGGTCTCAGGGAATCCAAGCATGGGGATGCCTTTGGCAAGACTCGCTGCTGGATGTCTTCCCACCTGCTTAGGAAACTGAAGGGAAGCATCAACCCAAGGCGTTGTGACTTCATCCTATGAAAGTGTCCGGTGGAGGGCGGGTAACTTCGGCAGGCAAGAGGAATAAGTTAAAGAAGAAAATGAATGAGCGAAAGGTACGGGGACCGTTCTAGAAAGCGGTGAAACATGTGAGCTATAGTCTAAACTCCTAGTATCCCCCTTGATAACCCCTATAATACTCCCCTATATAACTCCCTATATAACCCCTCTTTAAGGAGTTTAGACTACAGCTCATGCTGAGCCAGAGCTCGACTAGCAGCGGCATGCAACTGCAACTAAAGGCAATGCGCTACTAGCGTGTTGCATTTGACTTCCAAGCAGCTGGTAGGAACCGTTGACTTACTGGTTGTTAGTAGGGAAGAAGGAAATGTAGTCCCTATATACTCCCTATAAAGTCATATAACCCCTACATTATATATATATATATGCGCCCTTGTTCCCTACTGACCCACAGTAGCTCTGATGTCATGACAGTGTGCTCGCGGAGCTTTTGTTTTTGCAGCCAAGACTCCTTCTCCCACTTGCGAGCGTCTGGGTTCCAGACCTCCGTCCACAGCACGACTTACTGGGGCTTAGTGCGGGTATCTTGCGGCTATATAGGGATAATGGAAAAGAAAATGGAAACTACTACAAAGTGGTCATATAAGGATTATGAAGTATATATTTGGGGTTATATAGCGAAAATGGAAAGAAAATGGAAACTAAGGAATTCTGATAAGGTATATATTGGGGTTATAGTAGGGCATATGGGAATACATTCTAGAGAAATTGTAAACGGGATTCTATTCTCTCAGTCCCTACTAAGCCCCAAGAAGACTAGCATCCATGATTCATCGTGCCAGTGTTTCATGGCTTCGGACTACCAGCTCTAAGCTCTAGACCCTAAACCCTAAACCCCTAAACCCTAAACCCTAAACCCTAAACCCTAAACCCTAAACCCTAAACCCCTAAACCCTAAACCCCAATAGTTCACCCTAAACCCACAAAGATGTCCAAAAAATCTCTGACTCCAAGTTGTAAGAAGCCCTTCAAATCTTGCGGCTTGACAGCCCTAACCCTAATCTTGCTGGTTGTTAGTAAGGAATAAGGGAATATGATCCGTACTATAATCTGTATATAGCATTTGCCCATGTTACTAGGGAATAAGGGAATATGTTCCCTATATGTAGTCCCTACATAGTCTATTCCCATGTTTTCTACTAAGCACCAACAACAAATCCCTGAATCCCAACCCCAGCCTCTCCCCGGGCACTTCGCATAATTGCACCAGGCGTGTTGACAACGCCACGGACAATCTGACCTTGGAGCGTCAAGGAACCCCAAGCTTGGGAGCCCTCGGGGTATTATGGTATATTATAGTATATCACAGTCAACTATAGTATACTATGGTATCTTCTAGTATATTATGGAATATTATGCGAAATTTGGGGATTGCGAGTGGACTGGAGGCGTTTCAGTCAAGGAGTAGCGTGATGTTAAGAAGCTGCAAAGTGCATATGTCTCCATGTTAAACTCGATTCGTATGAGCCGTTGTCTAAACTCCTAGCATCCCGCTTAATAACCTCCTATAGTAATCTATAATCCCCTATAGAACCCCCTTTAAGGAGTTTAGACTGTAGCTCATATGCACTGAAAGCAACACAGTCCCCAGATGAAAGACTCCCCATAAAGATTTCCACTCCTGAACCTCAAGCCAGCCATCCCAAACCTGCCATCTGAAGCTGCAAGCCCCACCCTAAACCCTAAATTCCCACCCGGCCTGCTTAGGCCGTTCCCACCCATTTCTTGGGTGGTCAGACACTGAAGATGTCCAGCCATTACACCCGCACTGGGTATGACAATGGGAAGCCTATGGAGAGTGGACGAATCTCCCCCCCTAAACCCAAGGTCCCAGGCCCCTGCAGGCCCTGGAGGCCCCTGGAGGTTCCTGGAGGCCCTTGAAAGCCCTGGAGGCCCCTGGAGGTCCGTGGAGGCCCCTGGAGGCCCCTGGAGGCCCCTGGAGGCCCCTGAAGGCCCCTGGAGGCCCCTGGAGGCCCGCCTGCGGCGGCCCGTCTTCCCCTCCATTTTATTCCTTTCAAGGAAGCGAGAAGACGATCTTTTCGAGGTGGGAATTGAGGGCGTAGCCCTAAACCCTAACAGGAAGTAATTTGGGTGGTAGCCTGTGATGTCTCACAGCGGGTGGGAATTTTGAAGAAAGCCCAGTTTCGATGGCTTCTTAAACAACATCCACAAAGTTCGCCGGGCGCAGGATGTGCCGCCACCCACAGATCCCTGGAAGTGGGGTGGCGCCATCGGCGCATGGATACACAGCCCTGCGCAGGTCGACGCCCTAAACCCTATTCCCTAAACCCTAAATCCTAGACCCTAAAT